AGAAAAATAGGTTTTGAATTAGTATTCCGAAATTTAAAGTTTTAAAGCGATAAAATAAAGTTTAGGAACCTAATTGGATATATATTAGAATTGAATTTGACAAATATAGGGGCTAAAAATAATATTTTCAAAGTAATGTGGTTAAATGTGGGAAATGAGAACTCTAGGGACTTAATTGAAAACTATTGAAACTGAAAATAAAAGTTTAAGAGCTGAAATTGAACTTTTAGGAATTAGGGACTTAATTGAAAATTTATTGAAACTGAAAATAAAAGTTTAATGACTGAAATTAAACTTTTAAGAAACTCAGGGATTTAATTGAAAATCTATTAAAACTGAAAATAAGATTTAAGGACTGAAATTAAACTTTTCTAAAATAATGGGTTAACTACTGAAAGCAGAAACTTTAGGGGCTGATTTACTAATTACTGAAACTAAAAATAAAAGTTCAAGGACTGAAATTAAAAAACCTAAAACGCAGGGCTGATTTCTTTAAAACAGAAGCTGTAAGGACTTAAATAAACATTTTTAAAACTTAGGGGGGCTAGGGGATAATTTCTAAAAATTAAAAAATAAACAAAATATTACACCCCCCCGCTCTCTCTCTCACATTTTCGAACTGAGGAGAGAGGGGTAGCGACGGGTTTGCCCCTTCCTTCGATTCAACCGTGCCGGTGCCACCGTCGTGTGGTGGCGCCAGTGTGAGAGTGTGTGCACGACGGTGGGGGGGATTTGGTGTACGGTGCGAAATCAACAGAGGTTGGAGGTTCAATTTTTGAGGTAAGTTTATGGATTTCCTATTTTCGTGATTTTTTTGTTGCTGTTAGGTGTTGACTTGAGGTGTAGTGGCTGTCGATTAGGGTGGTTTAGGTGTTGTGGAGGTATTGCAGGTGGTTGTCGAGTGGTTGCATTTCGGTGGTTCGAAGATTTGGGTGAGGTTGAGGTTTGGGTGACTGGCTGTAGCTTGGGTTGTTTTTGCAATCGATTTTTGAGGTGAAATAGGGCAGTGAAGTTGAGTGGCAGCTGCAGTTTTTTTGTGGTGACAGCTGCGGTTTCGGTGTTGATTGGGTGGTGTGGTGACTGTGCAGCTTGTATGTTCGTGAAAACGGTGTTGGTTGTTCTGGTGGTGAGCTTGGTAGCGTTTGGCAGTAGACTTGGGTGATGAGTTGGTCTCGGTTTGGTGATGTTGGTGAATGGGCTGCATGGACCTTCTTGTAGATCTCCTCTAACTCTCTTTTGGGTGGGATCAGCGCGAATGGCTGCATTGTGTTGCAGCTTGTGAGTTCACTGTTGATGCTCGAAATGGACGTTCTAGCATCAATGATGACTCACAGTGAAATGGACTGAGAAATAGTGACTTACCAAAAATGGCTGCTATGTGAGTGCGAGGAGAGGGAGAATGAGGGTGGTATTTAAATAGTAAAATATTAGGGTACAAATTTATAGGAGTTTAAATGGGCCANTGGGCCAGAAAATTGGGCTGTAAGAATTTTCATAATTGGGCCTAAATGAATTGGACCTAAAATAATCAATACGTGGGCTAATAAGTAATTGGACTTAAAAGTGATAAGGGATTTAATACTTTAAAATTATTTGGGATTGAGCTTGACTTGAATGGATTAAAATTGATTGTATAACGGCTAGACAAATACGCTTTTATTCAACTTTAGGGTTTAACATTTTAGCGACATGTTTTTCGAGAAAAGTAATTTTATATAATGTAAAATTCTTGGTTGCTACAGAAAATCTATATATATATATATATATATATAAACATGTGACATTTCATGTGGCGTGTCTTAACACGTGTCGCTTGGCATCAGACATTGAGATGCCACCCTAGGAGTCGTGTCCGTGCTTCACAGGAAATTCTTAAATTTCCCTTAATCTTTACTTGTTATTGGTTGAAGAATATGATTATTCTTGATTGTTGATAAATTTGTCTTTCCTTTTGTTTTAGAGGCTTTGTTCTCTTGATGTATGCATGTTTCTTTCAAACACAGTTTTATTCCCCATAATGTATCTTTTTGAGAAAGAAAAATAAAAGATATCCCTTCCTACTTTGCTAGTCTATATGTTCATGTTATTATTGACTTATTATCAATGTTTCTTTGGAAGGATACACCTTGTATATTATGCATGAGCTTTACTTTACTATGTAGTTGTTCGTGTGCAATTATCTACTTGGATGATACTGCTTATGGAGAATTGTTGAAAGGCGTACTTTTAGATCCAGGGTGCTGGAAAATCAAAATTTTGAGCATGAACTTCCATATTTTCCAACTATGCATATTCGAAATTGTGCTGTCTAGACTCATGTCACTCATCCAAGATTAACTGCTAATTTCAGGAATGCAGCAATGAAATCTTGTTTGGGATCATGGATAAGACACTTAGACTGCTTGAAATGGGCTTCTCTGAGCAAGAAATTTCAATAGCTTTTGAGAGATATGGTAAGTTGATTATCAGAACTCAAAAATTCCCCATGCTTACTACCATGGATGGTGGGATTTGGGGGTGGGGGTGGGGGGGGGGGGGCGGAAGAGAGAGAATATCGAGAAGTACAACTTTGGAGGGGGCTAGCGCAAATCTCTAGTAAAAGTCGACTTGACTCACTTCTAGTGACAACCTATTTCCTCACAAAATGACATACCGCCTCCCTTGAAGTCCACTCCTCACGAGTGACAAATTTAACACGAAAATATGTAAAAAAATAAACTCTCACCATGAAGAAGACCTAACACTTACCGTGGAGTTACATAAGGAGAGAATTTTCGCAGTTGTGCAGAATGGACAGACAAACATTCTTCCCTAGGATTATTTTTTGCAACATAATGCTTAACAAGTGTTTAATGCTGGAATGTCATTTCTGTATCACTTTTTAGCATCGTGTAGGCATTAATTAGATAATTAGCTTCCTCGTCATTCAAGATGTATGCTATTATTTTCTGAGTTTGCCCTGATTTGATTTTTATTTTGTCAAAATCATTTTTCATTCAAACTCATTTTCAATCACATTCTTCCAATAAAATAAATTTGTATGTGGACTTGTAACTTTTCCGTATTTTTTTTTTTATAACCGTGGATGTCCGAGCCAGCTTGTGCGCACTTCGATTAATTCCACGAGGCCCTGAAGTTTATGGTCAGGTACTCACCTCAGTGATCCTGAGGGGATTCGAACTGGTGGCCATTGGAAAGCAAACTCAATGCTTGACCAATTGAGATTTTTCCATACTTTTTAACCATGCATTCTTGAAAAATAAAAATCAAACAATTGCTTAAAATAATTGGGAAAGATTTTGGATGCACATTATCCATGTACACAATTACCTTTATTTTTTATGTGGGGATATTTCTGAATTTCTTTTCATTATGGTGAACATTACCAAGGAGCTGCCCTATTTTATTATAAAAAAAAACTAAAAAATATATGTTTCCTTATCTAAATCATACTTTCTTTGTGACCAAATCTTGCAACCTCAATACCTAAAAAATATCTTAACTTCCCCAAATCTTTGATCTCTTGACCACCATTTTTTAAGATTTTCAGTCTCTTAAACTTGTCAAACCAAGTCTGGAGTGATGCTTTAGTCCATACAAGGATTTCTTCAACTTGCACGCTTTCTTTCCCTAGCAAATCCTTGAAGTCATGTGGTAACTCCATGCACATGTCCCCTACTAAATCTTCATGCAAGAATCCATTCTTCACATCAAGTTGCTCAGGATGCTGGTCTAAATTTGTTGCTAGAGATAATAGAACTTGATCTAAATTTATTTAACAGGAGCAAAGTGTCCTGATAGATTCTGGAAGTTAGTGTAAACCCCTTAGCAACAATTCTCGTTAATATCTTTCAAATGTTCCATTTACATTGTGTTTCAGTGTGATTGCCCATTTACACCTCTGATCCCAATGGCTTCTTTCTTCGTGAAAGATCAAATAAATACCCATATATTGTTCTTTTCGAAGCCCTTTCATTATAAATAGTCTCTTTCTGTTTTGGAACAAGAAGAGCTTCCTTTATAGTATTTGGAATAGGTTTACAAGAAGATAGATTAGCATAAAGGGCTTTGAAAGAAGACAACCTTTGATACTAGACATAATTTGAAATTGGATGCATAGTACGAGATCGAACACCGTTCTTATGAGCAATTGGAACATCAGGTTAGAAATATTAATCAAGTCTTGACTATTTGAAGATTAGAAATTGATGAATTACTTGTTTTCTAGAATCTCCACACTTGGTTAAGATGATTGGTGATGTTGAGGAAGATGTCTTGTTCCTTATTGACTAAACTTTTATTTTTTGATCTCTATCTCAAACACGCTCAATTGGAGTTTCGGGAGCCGGAGATGGTGTTATTGGTATTGGAGATGATGACTCAGAGCTCATGGGAGTAATTACATAAATATTAGAGATGATTGTGGGTGAAACATGAGAAAGGGACCTAGGGATATTAGGATAAGTAGGCCAAAAAGAATATTCTGGGCCTGTTTGATTCTCATTATTGTAGAATGAGAATGAAAAATGTAGCCGTTATTGGGCCTCACACAAGAGATAGAAATTCAAAATTGATGGCTTGATTTGATGGATAACTGTCATATTTTTCATTCTTATAGATGAAAAATGAGAAACAGACAGAGGCTCAATATGATTACTCTTCCCCTGAAGAGAAGTTTTTGGTGGAAAAAGAAATATTCGCAAAAAAGGTAATATCCACGGACACGGAAGTTTTTCTTGTCAGAGGATTGAAGAGCCCTTGGATCTAGTTTTCCCTATTATGTCCTTGAATGTGAACAAATGCTACACAACCAAAAATGAAGAAAAAATGTGTAATGAAGGCTATGTCTTTAAGAGTGCCAAGTGGTGTTTTGAAATCTAAGACCCATGATGGCATCTTATTGATAAGGTATGTAGCGGGAAGAATAGCTTCCCAAAAATGTTTAGAAACTGCCATGATACACATTAAAGATCTAGCCGCTTCAAGAAAACATCTATTTTTCATCTAAGCTATTCCATTTTGTTGAGGTGTATCTACACAAGCTGTTTGTTTTTTGGACAATGTGAAGATCTATGGGTTAATACTGATTGTCTTGCTTCAGGTTCAGAAGCTCCACTTTCAGAACTTGCAGATTCAATTGTTGCAGGTGAAAATGCTGACATTGACATTAAACCAGACAAGGTTATATTATTATTAAAACTCATTCTTTTCATATTTCTTGCACACTTATTCGCCTTTGTTAATTGAAGTACTGCCTGAATACATGACCTTCTCACTCTTCAAACTCATCTTGACTTTTGCAGAATTTATTAACTTCTTTGAGCAAGTCGAGTGCCCGTAGTAACTATAGATATTTGGATAGGGGGATGGGTGATTGTTCAAGTTATCAGTCTTTTAATCCATTTACTGTAAAAACTGAGGAACATACTTCAGATACTGCATCTCATGTTGGGGATTTTGATGTACTGGAAAAATTAAAAGGGAAGAGACCAAAAGAAGAATATAATGATGAACAAAGCAACTTGAAGAAAGCAAAAGAAGAGTTTGATGCAGTCTCGAGCAGTTCTGTTGGCCCGACCTGGCTAGGAGCAAGAAATGGAAAGTCTTTGTTGACCAGTCTTTGGATGCCAGCCTCTCAGAGACGTGTTGGCCACAATGCAGGATGGCTGGACAAACAAGGAATGCCCCAAAGGTCTATGCCCGACTCGTGCAGGGTTCTTGATAATATGGTGGCTAAACCTCCTTATTTCTTCTATGGAAATATAACAAATTTATCTCAGGACTCTTGGGTAAAAGTATCACAATTTCTGTACTCCGTTCAGCCAGAATTTATCAATACTCAGTTCTTCTCGGCCTTGGTTAGGAAGGAAGGCTACGTTCATAATCTCCCCACTGAAGATAGGTTTCACATTCATCCAAAGCCACCAATAACCATTCAAGAAGCCTTACCGCATACTGGAAAATGGTGGCCATCGTGGGATGCAAGGAAGCAGTTGAGCTGCATCAGTTCTGAAACTAAAGGAATTCCGCAACTGTGTGATAGGCTTGGAAGAATGCTGACCGATTCAAGAGGATTTCTAACAGTTGAACAGCAGAAAGAACTCCTCCATCAGTGCCGGACCTTGAATCTTGTGTGGGTTGGCCAACACAAATTGGCACCACTTGAACCTGAACATCTAGAGCGTATTATGGGCTATCCAGTGCGTCACACGCAGGTTTCTGGGTTTAGCACGACAGAAAGACTTGAATCACTTAAACATTCTTTTCAGACTGACACATTAGCATACCACCTATCTGTTCTTAGATCCTTGTTCCCTGAAGGATTGACATTGTTATCAATTTATAGTGGAATTGGTGGAGTAGAAATTTCTTTACACCGTATTGGCATTCGTTTGAAGGGTGTTGTGTCTGTGGAACCCTGTGAAGCAAAGCGGAGGATTATCAAACAATGGTGGGACAATTCTGGACAGATTGGAGAGTTGGTGCAGATTGAAAGTATCCAAAGCCTATCAAGTAACAAGCTTGAAGCTTTGATAAAAAAGTTCAGTGGATTCGATTTTGTTATATGTCAGAATCCGTGCACAGCTGCAACTAGTGATAACATGGTAGGTTTAGATTTTTCAATGTTTGTCGAGTTTGTACGTGTCTTGCAGCGTGTGAGGACTACAACGGAGAGGCGCAGGTGACTTTCTGCCACTCCAACATGCTTCTAGTAGGTCTTTAAGTTGTTTTTGTATCGGTATTTGATAATGACTACTTACGATCTCCAATTTAAGATTGAGAACATAGGCTGGTAAACCATATTAATTCCAGGATTAATCTGTATCTATGTACAAACAAATTGTGTTGGCAGCACCTTTATGGTTGGTTTTTGTATTTATTTTTGCCCAGCTCCCAATGAAATATTGCCAAGTGGATCCGTGTAAATCAATTTGGCAAAATGCCTTGTACACATAGCACGGTTGTTTTATTCCAAGACGTTCTCTACATTAGAATGGTACATAGTAAGGTATCCTTCACAAGTTGCTAAGATGATTCAAATGTCATCCTAAAAATAGGCTAAAATACCCATGTTCTTATTCAAGCTGATAGTTTTATACATCTGTCTAAAGTTAATCCTTTCGACATTTTCGGCCGACTGGCATCGTGGTATAACTGAGGGATTGTTTGAGCCCCCACTTATTTGAAAATTCATTCTTCCAAAACTCATTTTCAACCATATTTTTCAATAAAATAATATTAAACGTAAATTTAAATTTTTTTCATAATTTTTGACCACATATTCCAAAAATCACTATTCAAATATACATTTTTTTTTTTCATTCAAAATGGGGCTCAAACCAGGGCTGAAACAAGTTTTAATGTTCAGTAGGACAAATGAAACAATTCAAAGTTCAGTATTAACCGCATAAGTGACACTAAAAGTGAAGTTTAGAGGCGATTGGTATAATTAAATCAATTTCAAATCTCGTGTTATGTCACCGAGCTAACAAAATGTTTATGCTTTATGTTAAAAATGGATTATAAATTAGTGTGTTGATATAACCGTAACGAGTTAACGAGATGATTTAAAATTTAACTACGCTTCACATATAGGTGGCCCTGTACATCACAGGGGGACATAACAATTAGAATTGGATTTTGCTATATGTACACCCAAGTGTACAGCTCCTCTCACAATAGGTGGGTCCACAATTTTTTTTTTATCGGTCGTGGGTCCCCCTCTATTGCGAGGGGTAACTCCGATGTACAAATAATAAAATCCAATGAAAATACCCTTCAAAATATACTCTGTACCCTTTCAAATTCTGTAGTGCAAGTGAACTTGAATGTGAAGTTGGGTAGCAATAGAGCGATTAACATCTCAAAAGTCAAAAGTTGAGGCTTGAACTTTAAAATTGAAGGTTAGCCACGGATAAAATAAAGGGGGAATTGCAATTGAGATCATAAATCGTACAAATTGTTGCAGGCTATATCTCAACTTGGATAATGCTGGAGCCTTGTTCATGCAGTGCGATCCTTTGAACTTTTCATTTTTGCACCCAGGGACGTAACTAGGGTTATGATCTTGTGGGGGGAGGGAAATACGGGTCCGAAAATTTTTTTTAACTAAAAGGATTGAAAATGACGATTTTGAGTACCAAAATAGGTAAGTGAAATTGACTGATCAAAAAAATAATCAGTTTGTCGATACAAAAATAATATGTCCATCTATGTAACGCTATACAAATTAAAATATGAACGTTAGATGAACAGTTAATATGAAATAGTTTCTTTCTTGCTTTCAAAAAAGTTAATATGAAATGAATTTGTACTGTTGTACTGCAATTCCTCAAGTGTGCCCACAAAATTGGTCTTTTTTTTTAAAACTTTTACTAGATTTCTTTTCTTTCTCGATTGATGCTTACTGTGACACAGTGACTGTTCATTTGCCCTCTTCAACCACGTGCAAACTACAGAAATTATGCTAATAGACTGTTTATTCTTCCCTCAAGTTACTTATTTTGTCATGACATAGTTTCTCAAAGTCACATTTTATCAATAAATTATCGAAGAAATCAAGAAAAAGAGCCCAAAAATTTCAGAAATAGGTTAATGAAAATACTTACTAGTTCAAAAATTTGAAAGCTTGGAGATGGAGAGAGTAAGAGGAATCGTCGGTTCTCTTCTCCCTTCTTCTTTCTCGGTAGTCGATTGATTCGATTTTCCCTTCTTCTCTCACTCTCGTTGTCTCCCCAGTCCCAGGCTCCCAACAGGTAACGTTAATATGAAAATGAAGAAAATTTAATTAGATTAGTTTATGGTTTGTGTTTAAATGGTTGCTCATTTGCTGGCATAGTTTACAACTTTAATAATACATAAATCAGATTTTAATTAATAATTTTTTATTATTTTTTATTTAAATCAATCCTACACAAAATCAAACCCTAATTTTTTCATCCCCCCCTCCTCCCTCTCTCTCTATCTCCATCTCCCCATTCCATCTAACCACCACCACCTCCTCTCTTCTCCCTCAAATCGCCGGACCATAACGACGATGACGCGATTGCAGCGATTTGTGAACGAAGATGTCGCGGCTGCAGCAATTCGTGGAGATTTGTCTGGTATGATGACCATCATTGATTTGTGTTCTGCAATTGTTGGGGACGATGTGGTGTTAATGGTGTTAGGGATGGTGGTGAGGTAGTAGATACGGATTCAGGTTCAGATCTCGATGTGGTTGTGATGGTGTTAGCGATGGTGTTGGTGGCGGCGACGGCTGGGGCTACAGATTCAGATCTCGCTACAGTTGGTGGTGGAGTGTGATGCTGGAGGTGGTGGTCGTGGTCGTAGTGGCGATGGTGTAGGATGCAGGAGGTTTTGGCGTGTTTGGGTGGCAGTTGTGGTGGTTTTGATCGGGTAGAGGCTGTGATTTTTGTTGTCGGCGTTGGTAGTGAATTTGGCGGTTGCGGTGATAGTTTTATAGTTGAAAATGATGGTCAACAAGTGGTGGTGGTGGTTCGACGGTGAAGGTGGTCACAAGTGATGTGGTGTTGTGTTGGTGGTGGTTACAAATGATTTGTTGATTGTGATCAATAAATTGGTTGGTGTGTTTCAATAAATAATAAATTGTGACCTAGAAATAATTTGTGACCTACAAATTTATTAATTTGATGTTCGTGACCATAAAATAAGTTGTGTGACTTATAAATTTTGTGATTCGTGACCGATGAACAATTGTAACTTTTAAATTTTTAATTTGTGATCGATGAACGAACTGTGACCTATAAAATTTTTGAATTGTGACTTTTAAATTTTTAATTTGTGACCGATGAACGAATCGTGACCTATAAAATTTTTGAATTGTGACTTTTAAATTTTTAATTTGTGACCGATGAACGAATCGTTACCTATAAAATTTTTGAATTGTGACCTTAAAATTTTTGAATTGTGACCAAATTGCATAAATCTGTGACCTTTATATATTTATTAATTAAATATATAATTAATTAATTAAATTATAAATAAATTTTAATTAAAACCTGATTTTTGAAATTTAAAACCTCAAACCATAATTTTGAAATGGTGATACTTAAATACCTTATTTAAGTATTGTTCCCTTTAAATTTTGTTTGGACCAAAAAATTAGAGTTGTGTCATTTACTCATTATTTTTGGAATGAGGCTTACTATATATATATATATAATTTTTTTTAATTTAATTTAATTTTATTTTATTTTTTTGACACGGGCTAACTGGGGGGCAAGTCAAAATTCTTGGGGAGGCGAAACTGAAAAATACACAATAAATTAATTAGGAATAGTAGATCAGCGGACAAGTTGGGGGATGATCGCCCCCCTGCTTCCCTAGCTCCGTCTTTGTTTGCACCCATTGTCTCAAACCTTACATATGTATTATAGTTGGAGGACAAATGAACAGATTGACCATTAGTCTACTCAAAAAATCAATTTGACCACATTTTAACAAAATTTAAAAGGCAAAATTGTAATTTTATATTTTCTCAATAAAATATTGATATTGCTATATGTACATCACAAATTACGAATTAGTTTAATAACAGGTGACGTTACAAAATTTCACTAACCAATTAAAAAATAAAACTACCCTGCTTTCTTTTTGTCACGTCATCAATTTGTATAAGAATTTGAAAATATTAATGTACAAATAGCATTAGTCATAAAATATAGCGAAAAATTATACGTTTATTTAGCATTATTCTTTCAAATATATGCGATTGAGTAACTTATTCTTCTTTTATTGTTATTTTTCTTTTTTGTGGTTTTTTGTCTTTTGGCCGCTGTTTGATAGGAATTAAAATTTTAATTAAAGTCAATAATTAATTTTAACAATGTATTTAATGGGTCTCATAACTTTTCAATCACATATTTCATCAACTTTTATCAAAATTTACTAAAAATCTTATTTTAATTCCCACCAAATAGCAGCTTTATTTTTTTATTCAATTAAAAATATGCCCATAATCTCCTTTTAAGTGAAAGAAATAAAAAAAAATGAATGGAACTGTCTATTACGATACTTTGTGCAGTAGCAATGAAATGTTAATTACCAAATCGGTTTATTTTAATGTTCGAAAACAACTTGCTATAGAGGCTATAAATTGAGGACCAAAATTGCAAATTTTTTTTTTCGTATATGACAAATAAATATAACGAGAATATACAGAAAATAAAATATGTCAGTAATATAACCCATTTCATTTTGTGTAAATAATCCGTTGGAATGTTCAAAAGTAAGATAATTTTTACCACGATGGTTAAGAAATTAGAGTGCTGTTATTTTCATTAAATTTTGTTCTAGATTATTCGAATGTACTATTTCACTTGTATAAAGTTTTCTTATATGATTTGTTTTTTAGAAAACAATATTTATAAAATAGTTTATATTTAGATCATAAAAAGTAGTTTATTGTTAACCTCAAAAATTACAAGATCTTGTGGTAAACGATTTTTCTATCACGTTTCCGCTTGTTTTGTATGTTACATATGCACTCGATCAAATTGTTAGGCACCTAGATCATCGTATCAAGAAAAAAAAGTTGACGATCATTAGCACTTCAACGAGCAAGTCAACTGTCAACACAGATAGAATGTGGGAGACACAAGCGAACAGAAATTTGGCTAAAGTTTCAAAATGAAAGTGGCTTTATCTTTACCTTTACCTTTACCTTTACCTTTACCTTTACCTTTATCAGTACATGTCTATTTATAGGGAAGAAATCCGTTCTGAATTAAGTTACTACCTTGCACCCTTAATCCAACGCAGAGAATCCATTCCTTCCGATGTAACTCTTAGTTCCGTGATTTGTGGACTCTTCGTTGTTGACAAGAAATTGGCTTCGCCTAAAGAATTTGGGTCCAAGAGGGCATTGCCCTTCCATCTTGGCGAGGATGATTCACCATAGATCTTGATAAATGATGTTGTATCATTGGTGCAAAGATCATGATAGATGATGTTGTATCCTCTAAAACGAGGGTCCAAGGCGTAACGTTTATATTTCGACAAATGACCGTCGCGACTCAAACAAGTAGCAACTTTATAGCAAAATTGTGACCCTAGTGAACAAGCATTTGCAATTTTATTTATATTTAAAGGAACAATGCAAAATCATGAATACTTTTCTCTTGTTTCTCTCCATAATGAAATACATCTTTTTTGCATATTATTATTCTTAAAATTATAATTTGCCGACATAAATTCAAGACTTTTGAAACCCTCGTAACAAATAGAGTAACGAAACAACATAATGCTTAATTCAACGTGCTCCCCAATCCAATTACACGTGTGAATCACGTGATTGCGACAAAGTTAAATTTTCCTTTGCATCGGAAAAAGAAAATACCTATTTTTTTTCCTTTCTTTTCCAATCACATATAATCCAAAAAATTACTATTCCCAATAATGGAGCCTACATAGAAGCTGTAATGGTTGACATTTTCCTCCATATATATGAGTTTGAGCTCCAATGTTCAAAATGGCAGACAAAGAATATTGTTCAATGGCCTGAATTTCTACATGTCAATATTCTCCACTTTCAAGATTTTTTTTCCTTTATTTTTTCTCTTTTTTATGTACTCTTCGTGCTTCACGAGTTTTTATCTCCTTTCGTCCATCGCTTTATATAGCATTTAAATGGGTTTTTCCAATCATAAGTTTTTTTTCCATTTTATTTTTTTCCGATTTGTTGTGGGAGCTATCTTTAACTCATTTCGTCCGTGTAAAATAAGAAAATAAATAAAAATAAGTTTTCGTGGTCTCAAAAAACGAAAATAGCATAAACAAAAAGTATGAACGACAAAGGCACGGAGAGTAGCCGAAGCAAGGAAAAGCCATGGAGACGGCGACAATTTCCAAATTTGAAAGTTTACAAAATACTTCAAGTCTTTTACAAAATAAAATCAACATTCACGCGAAAGAACCACGTTAAAAATATTGATATCTGTAAGATCATTTCTACATAACGACTTAGAATTTTAGACTATGTGGTCATCGATTCATCCCTACTCCAATTTCGATTTTTCTTTAATTCTTCATTGTTATGTATTTTCATCCTAACAATATGGCAACGACTTATATGCACTAAGTACAATAAGAAAAAGATCCCATGATGTTTTTTTATTAAGCTTATGTCAGCCATACACTTGAATGGATAGAGAGATAATTGAAATTACATTAATGGTTAAATTAGGCATCCACTTTCAGTGATGGGTATTTGATGAAGCAACAAATATTTATGGGTGGATATACGACTTTCAAATCGATATTCGAATTAGCGAATATTGTCAAAGGAAGTACTGACGCCATACACATAGAAAGAGAAAATGAAATTTGCAAATTGAGTTTTTGTAATTTTTCATTAATCCATAAATATGATTTTATGTCTCGATTGAGCATCCTCCCTTGTCAAATAATTTTATTTTTAAGAAAATTCAACCATAAATATTTTTTAAAGAAATTGCTTACATGTGTCGTGGCGACCAGAAGCGACGAGCAGTCACAGTCGAAATGGAAGTGATGAGGAGAGTTACGCTAGCTTGATATGAATCTTAGTATCAACGAACGGAATGAGAAAGAAGGATTCAAGTAGTTTACCCCAATATATTACAATAAGTCTTCTTGTAAATTTTTTTTAAAAAAATGATTATGACTTTGATGAGGTGAATCAAATAATATGAATAATATTTAAGAAAAAATTAAAATTTTAACGCAATATTGTTTAATCTTATTTAATTTGACGTACCAAACCCCTGTTTGGGCTTCATTTTAGAAAAAAAATATATGAGTCTGTTTGGTTTGTATTTCAGCTCTGAGTTTATTTTCGGTTTTCTGATTTGAGAGTTTATTTAAGATTGTTAAAAACGTGTTTGGTTAGTTATTTTGAAAAATTATTTCTCAAAACAAAAAACTAGAAAACACGTTTGAGTTGAAATTTTGAAAAAATATTTTATGACATTTTATTCTATGAATTTGATTTTTAGTAAAGATAATAGTTTTTGTGTCAATATATTATCAAGTACTATATAAATTTTAAAGTTTGTGAATCTTATAGTATTTTTCTAGTTACAAAAGTAAAATAATAAATAAGAAATTGAGATTAAAATATGGAAAATAAAAATAAAAATTAAAGACATAAACCGAAAATATTTTTATTAATGTTCATTTAAATATTTTTTTAGAATTTTTATGAAAATAATCATAAAGAGCTCTTATTTTTTATATTTTTTCTAGAAATTTTTAAAATTTTGTTTTCTCAAAATTTTAATTTTAAATTTTTGAATTTTTTATAAGATTTTGTTTTTTCAAAATTTTTATTTTTTTCACTGTTTAGATTTTTTTTTTTTTACTTTTTCAATTTATTTTGTTTGAAATTCATTTTTTTAAAATTTAAATGTTTATTTGTTAGAATTTTATATTTTCATTTTTAAAATTTTATTTAAATAAAAATTATAATTTTTAAATCTTATTATATTATAAGTTTAACCATGTTTTCGAAATAACATTTTGAAAAATATTAGGCCAAACACATTTTCAATATTTTGCAAGACTGATAATAATTTGAAGGCAACAAAGTAAACATATCATACATTTTTCTCTTTTTTATTTTCGCCACAGATTATCAAATAAAATAATACTATGCGCAAATTCAAAATTTTCCTTATATCTTAATCACGCATTCTCCAAAAGCAATATTATTCCAAAATACATTTTTTTTTTCGCCAAAATCTATTTTTAACTAAAGCCAAACATGGGCCAAATATGCCGTTTTAATCATCCTATCTTTGAAAGGAAAGGGTCGAGTTAAAGAACATGTAGACCACATAGTCTTGTTTATCTACATGTGGTCTTTGATTTCACATGGTGGGTTGCCAATTGTTGTCTTTTCTCATTGATGCAATTCAAACCATAGTTTGGTGCATTCAAACTTCATCAAAAACAGTACAAGTTGGTGGGGTCATTTTTTGACTGGATTTCTTGTAATTACGAGCAAAGAAAATGTAGGGCCCCTCTCCAATTGTTCTATATTATTAGGTTCAATTTCTTGCTCTATAGTCCCCAATTTTCTGTCATTTCTATTGTCTATATGTTTCTACTCTCTTCTAATTCTCCCAACCCCACCCGTTTCGCCATGTTTCTCTGTTTTTTCGAAGCTTTCGTATCTAAATGCACGTATTTAATTTATTTGGAGTCGACCCTTCTTTGAGCTACCGAGGAACAATGAATGTTCACTTATCCCATAAACTATTACCTTGAACTGAAACAGACCCTTGTCTTGATTCTTGAAGTTCAATATTATGACTATCTTATAGGAGTATAGAATTTCTCTTGGAGTTTTTCTCATTCATATTTTGTGCACTTGGATTATTTTTTCATGAAAGGAGTTGAGAAGATCATCCCACCTTTTTTTAGGTGCCCCATAAGTCTAGACTTGTTCACAGATCCAGTAATTGTATGCACAGGCCAGACGTACGAGCGGTCGAGCATTGAAAAATGGCTATCTACTGGTAACCTAGTTTGTCCTGTCACAATGCAGAAGCTCCATGATCCTTCTATTGTTCCGAATCACACTCTTCGCCATTTGATCGAGGAGTGGCTTCAATCTGGTAACCAGGTCGAGTCTGATCGCCTCAAAATGATTGACAACGATCATTCTATAGCTGTAGCCAAGCACATTCTAGAGTCCAATGAATCCAAGTTGGATCATAAGCTTCAAATGCTAGAAAAGATCCATGCTTTATCCGTAGAATTACCTTTGCAGAATTCATTGTTGATTCAATTAGATTTCTTCAAGTTACTCTTGGAACTAGTTTTCAGAAATGAAGAAGGTTTAAATTTCCAAGAAGATTTGAGGGTTGTGGAAAAAGCACTTATTTGCGCTATAAGCTTATTGCCCTTCAGTGAATTGGGGTGTCTAGACATTCTCAAAGAAGAATCCAAATTATCCCAATTCATTTTTCTTCTTGAAAAAGGCAGTATCATTATCAAGAAATGCTTATGCCATATGGTAGAGGCAATTTCATCAAATTTAGAGACTCAAGAACTTTGTTCTACACTTGGAAAATCAGATAAACTTTTGCAAGAAATGGTTCATCTTCTTCATAACAACTCAAATGCTGTTGAAGATGGAATCAGAGCCATATCAGCATTAGCCTTACCGGAGTTGAGTAGAGAGAATTTGGTTAAACAAGGTGCAATTCAAGGGCTCATAACATACATTTCCAATGCAAAGAAGCAAGAAAATAGCTTGGCACCAATGGCAATGGGAACAATTCTGACACTGCTTTTGTCAGTAGAAAGTGCAAAACAGGCAGTAATCAATCACCCGTTAGGCATTGATGCAATTGTCAAAATGGTTTTCAGAGTTTCATCACATCATGAAGGGAGTGGAAGTGCAGTAAATTCATTACTGATTATTTGTTTCGAATCAAAAAGGATTGGGGAAGAAGCCATTTGTGCTGGGGTTTTAACTCAGCTGTTATTGCTGCTTCAAAGCCAGTGCAGTGGGAGGACTAAAACTAAGGCAAGAATGTTGCTCAAATTACTTGGATCTATGTGGACTGAGAATCCAAAGGTTTCATTTTAGTTCATAAATTCGACGGACTATAAAAGACATATATTCGTAAAAGATCGTTATCCTTTCAAGAATATAAGGTCCCCCCAAATGTATGGTCCTTTCTCAAACGAACCATATCCTAAAATCCCAGAGTTTGTTGCTTTTTCAAATCAAGTTCCTGATTTGTATATGAGCTTTGCATTATATATACTACTGTGTACAGACGATAATGTATTGTTTTATTTAAAATGTTACACTTATGTTATCAACAGCTACCTCATATGTAAGCCAGAATTATGTTATCCAATAGCCACCTTGCCTTCACATAAAATTCTTTTTGGTTTTAATTCAGTTGCCATGCTTAAAATTGGAATGAGGAGTGAAGATGTGCTGAAGAAGAAGCACAATGTTTAATTATTGGTCTAATCCTTGTCGTTGACGAAGAAGAATAATGAACAAACATTTTCATATGCACGTCTCTGTTCTTTAATCTTATCTCGTTCTTAGTCAAATATTGCATAATGGGACGACTGGTATGTTAAATTAGACCGTACCGAATAGACAAATCCCAAAATATTGTCACATTTCAAGACAATGTGAGTTGGGAAGGTTGAATTAGGATTATAGGCTTGTCTTATGGTTAAGATTGGTTTCTACTCAAAAAAGTAGGGGCATTTGTGTCATTAATGCTCCATGCCAAACCAAGAAAAAGAATAGTGGTTTACATGACTATTATTATGTTAGTGAAGACAAATCAAATGTCATAATTAAGGACACACTTTGGTTTATTAAAAAAAAAATGTAGGATGGACAAAACAACATGATGCATGAGTTTTCAAGTAAATTATTTTTTTATTAATCAAAGTTGAATTTAAATAAGCCTTTACTAAAAAGTAAGTTATTTAAATATACCCGAAATACGTAATTACTTAAAGGTAATTATCGTCCGTGAATAAGATTACATAATAAATTGAATATAAAGACAACATTTTCAACTTATCGTAACTTTTATGTCATGGTCGAGACAAAGAGTCGTGTTTTAGTATATTTGTTAACATTTTAGATTTTTGAATAATTTTAATCTAGGTAAATTTGTTAATCCTAAAAACAGTAACAGATTAAAAGATAATGAATCAAATTCCAATTAATTGCAGCAAATTGCTTTTGAAAGTGCGTCTAGTTTTGACAACTACTAGTGGATGTTGGGTGAGTTTCAATTATAACTATTTAATGTTGACAGCCTAAATTGGGACTTAGGAGCCATCAAATTTGATTGCAATAAATGACTTGATCACGTGCTTGTGTATATAATTGATTCATAAATGTTAGTAAATCTTGAATCTGATTTGCACGTGACGGAGCATTTTAAGTATCGTAACAAATAAACTTATCTCATCTTTTAATTTTGAACACGCATTTTGACATATAAAGAGTCTATTTTTCTCCAGGGTTGTTCTACATGTACATAACAATTTACATAATGGTTTACCGACAGATGATGTAATGAGATTTAATTGGATCAAAATATCATCAACCAAATAACTTCCTTTTGTACATGAAGCATTTTCCTTTTATCAAATAGTTAATACGTGCATAGTTTTTATTGGTAGCGACTAGACTTGGGACCCAAATATTATGTTTTGATGATTTTTAACATTTGAAACGTTTAGATGAAATAGTTTAACAATTTTAAACCAACAAGAAAAGAATTTTTAGACGCCCACGTAACACAAAAGATACCACAAATTCGTATTTGAAAAGTAATCATCGTTGATAGCTTAATTCGCACGTTTGTCCTTAACTATTGAAACTTTAATGTGAATTTGTCTTTAACTATTGAAACTTTTAATGTGAAGATGCCCCAGCGTGACAAAGGTCCATATTTTCAGCCTCATTTTGGGACCTAAGTAACACCCTTTTCTACCTAAAAAAAAAAAAGAAAAAGAAAAAAAAACTATACACTCAAGTACCAGCAGGAATCTTGCAAATGGAATCTATACTTTTGAACAATAGCCAAAATCATGGGTCCTATGTTCCCCATTTTCAGGAATCTCAATTTTATTAAATTTGATTGCCATGATCATATAAAGACAAATCAGAAATTGGAGCTCAAATTTCACTCTCGATAAGTCCACGAGTTATACTGGTATACCATGTACGTATTCTGTTAAGTTAAAGTGCGAACATAGAAACATTGCAAATATGCCATCATGATTGTGATAGAGGGTTATTGTGATAGTTTTATCGTATGAATAGCAGAGGAAAAAGAGAATTCCGATCGAGAAAGAGAGAGATTTTATGTAGTGAAATGTTACCAAACACAAGCAATTGGACAAAATTCAAGGTTATTGCCTTCACATTATTTTATAGTTCATTATATATGCCAGTAACTAGAAGCTTATGTATAGTCAAAAATTAAAATTTTATGACAATAAGGATTTAAAAAAAAAAGGGTGTGGTATTTGTGGCAAAGTAATATACGTGAACTGCCATTTCTTTATTTACAAACTCTTACAGTCTCACTCCATTGGAAAAAGACCAACCTTCCCAAAAATCCCAAATCTCTGCATATTTTTCCAATTCCCAATAATATTTCCCAATTTCCAACAGAAGCACAAGTCGTCGTGTCATAGGGCGACTCTTTGAATCTCATAGCGAAACTATTTTTCGCTCATGATGCATTAGTCTCACTCCATTCGACTACCTTTTGCCATCTCCATCACAAGCCTAAATATGACCTGTTGCATAGTTCACCCACAAAGAACACTATCGTGAACACCCGAATGCTTCCTTGTGCTACAATTGGTACCAAGATGCTCGTCAATTCATAATTGCATCTTCAACGAGGTTCCCAACTCTTCATTCTAACCAAGCGAACCTGTCCACATGTTCATGAACAACATACAATCCTCTCGAAGCAATATACTCCATGGTTCGAAGCATTGAGGTTATTAGCGTTTCCCCACAATACAATACTCGTGTTCATCACTTTTTACGGATAGTTTAAGCTCCAATGCGTGCCACAATGTCCTTTGTCAGTGCCTTATCTAAGTAGGTTCATCGATAAATCTATGGTTAACTTGAAGTGCCTTCATAAAATATTCTTTCACACAATATCAGCAGCATATGCATCATTCGCTGATTCGCTTAACTATGCGATATCATCCCATGATCGTATTTTTAGCCGACGGACTCGGGAATATGCTAGAACCCATAGCCAATGAATACACAATTACCATATGAGGTGTTTAAATTGCTCTCATCGATAGCTCATTTGGCCTAGAAGTGCTATCATATCCTCCCATTGCAGCCCCAAAGCATAGCAATTCTCTATCAATAACCTCAGGCACCTTCTGGTGCCCAACGAAGGCCTAATGCCACTCTCGTAGGTTGCCACTTCGTGAGGACAGAAGCATGAGGCTTGGTCTGACGTTGCCTGTGTCCCCTACGTGCCATAACCTAACATAATTGGATTGTTGTATGTCCAAAGTACTCTAACCTAAGAACAGGATGTCCGTAAAATCAATTAACCCACTGTCTCAAGCCCAAAGGTACATAAATAAAAAATTTAGACTAGATTTGGTGGGTTGCGCCAGGCCCGTACAGTAGTGCAACGCATGGGCGACGCTTGGAGGCCCAGGCAGCAAGCTACCTTGGTGGACCTCCACCCTTAAAAAATTAATTTAATATCGTGTGGGCTAATAGCCCACATATCAGATATTAAACTGATAAGAACAGATACTACACTTGATCTTAGCCAAAAGGCCGAGAAAGGTATGCTTTTACCCCTCACAGTCCAAATCCTTTTATAGTACGCAGCTCTCTCTCAGGTTTCCTTAGAGTTCGATGTGGGATACATTTAAGACTATGGATGGGAATTTCAACGTTCATAAATGACGCTGCTCTTGTAATTTTGTAGCCCTTTCCATCACGGTCTTACTGATTTTCTTTCCCAGGCTATTTCTGCAGCAACTCCAAGCTGGAAACTTTTGGTAGTGAGGAAGGAGACGAGTGAGGTTTTCGTAGTTGGACAGACGACAAATACTAGCAGAGGGGCTCGTCTTTCGTTCCGTGCCATATCCATGCCATATGCATCTTCAACGAGGTTCCCAACTCTTTTCATTCCAACCAAACGAGCCTGTCCACATGTTCATGAACAAAATACAATCCTCTCGAAGCACACTCCATGGTTTGAAGCATTGAGGTTTATTAGCGTTTCACCACAATACAATACTCGTGTTCATCATTTTTTACGAATAGTTTAAGCTCCAATGCGTGCCACAATGTCCTTTGTCAGTGCCACATCCCAAGTAGGGTCATCGATAAATCCAATGCGTGCCACAAAGGCCTAATGCCACTCATGAGTTGCCTACTCCGCGAATTCTTTGTCATATCCCTAAATGTACCTAAAGTAGGCTCTTAGGGGGCCACCAATGGCCCCTTTTAGTGCATATTATATGATAGCTCGTAGGTTGCCACTTCGTGAGGACAGAAGCATGACGTTGCCTCTTGTCCCCTAAGTGCCATAACCAAACATACTTGGATTGTTGTAGGTCCAAAGTATTCTAACCTTACAACAGAGCATCACCCAATTCGACAATCACAAATCTCAATTATGCGCCCTAAGATCAGGAAAATCAATTAACTACTGTCTCAAGCCCAAAGGCACATAAATAAAAATTTGAACTAGATTTGGTGGGTTGCGCCAGGCCCGTGCGGTAGTGCAACGCATGGGCGACGCTCGGATGCCCAGGCAGCAAGCTACCTTGGTGGACCTCCACCCTTAAAAAATTAATTTAATATCGTGTGGGCTAATAGCCCACATATCAGATATTAAACTGATAAGAACAGATACTACACTTGATCTTAGCCAAAAGGCCGAGAAAGGTATGCTTTTACCCCTCACAGCCCAAATCCTTTTATAGTACGCAGCTCTCTCTCAGGTTTCCTTAGAGTTCGATGTGGGATACATTTAAGACTATGGATGGGAATTTCAACGTTCATAAATGACGCTGCTCTTGTAATTTTGT